TTGGTGGGTGGCTCTCCTCCAAAGGTGATTCTGAGATCTAGACTCTTTATTTCTGGTGCCTCTGCTCTAAGATAATTTGGATATGTCCATTATTAATATAATTACGTTTTCCTTACAGTTTTTAAATGTCACATGCCCCTTCTATTGTTGCATGTTACCTTTAGAACATGTAAGCCCAGAGCATTTTTTTTTTTTTTTTTTTTTTTTTTACTTAACCCTCGTGGTGGTTTCTGATGACTTACAAATTTAAAGTTGTTTTTAAGGCTATTGGATTTGGCCCTAGTTAGAATTAGGCAACAAATTGTGGGTCATAAGTGGAACATTGTGAACGTGTAAAAGTCAGGTTTATTACGATTTAACTAATTTTCACAAGAATAACAATATCCATTCATTTCAGTAGAAGTCAAGAAGTCATTTTCATTTATATTGAGTAGATGGCATCTCTCATTCAATTACAAAATTTGACAGAGAAGGGCTTAGCTCAAAAGGAAAACATAAGTAGTTTAAGTTATTTGATAGCCAGAAATGTTCGCAATGTACCTTTGTCCACACCTACCCCAGTGTTATTTTCTGTCATAAATTTCCCAATGTGCCCTAAGTTCTTAGCAAATCCTAGCCCCAGTCCTTAATGCATAGAAGGTTAAGGAAAGACTGACAAAGCAAGCAAGGCTGTCTTGGGAATTGTGACTTTAGATAGGATGAGGAAGGAATCAAGATCACTATGCCTTAGTGCAAGGGAAATTTGCCCTTTCATTTGATACATGAGGATGATGCGACCTTGGTAGATGGAGGTATTTATTCAGGGCCTCCTAGATACTTCAGTTCAGAGAGAGTGTGGGTAGCGAAACAAAGAATGTCTTTACACTAGACATGAGACACCCTTTGATGTAATAGAAACACACCAGAGCAGCAAAGCGTTCAGTGGACCAGAAAGGAGATGAAAGGCAGCTGGCAGCATGGCAGGGAAGAGCCTGGAAGGGGATCACACAGATGTGCTCACAGATACAGTCTTCCTGCGTCCTTATTTCAGTAAGTCTAGCCGTGCATAACCATTCACTTATTCATTCACGTCATTCAACAAGTATTATTAAGTTACTATTATGTGCCGGGTCCATAAATACCTGTTTTCATGGAGTTTATCTTTTAATGGGACCATTCTCCCCCATACTCGGTGCTTTGGGTGATAAATTGACAAAAGCCTGGAACTAAGGCAGATTGGGGTAGTTAAGAAGGTCCACGGATAAGGTATAAAATGGGTACTTTTAAAAGTTGCACCATTACACCTTCAACACAATGACTAAAATTAAAAAAAACCTACAATACCAAGTGTTGGGGTAAGAATATGGAGCAACTGGAACTCTAATACATTGTTGAAAGGAATGAGTTCGAGCCCCGCGTCGGGCTCTGTGCTGACAGCTCGGAGTCTGAAGCCTGCTTCGGATTCTGTGTCTCCCTCTGTCTCTGTCCCTCCCCTGCATGTCTCTGTCTCTGTCTCTGTCTCTGTCTCTCTCTCTTTCAAAAATAAACAAACATTAAAAAAAAAATCCCAAGCCTAGATATTTACCCAAGAAAATGACAATACAGGTCTATTAAGAAAAAACTTATATTAAGCACGTTCACAGAGTGTTTATTTGTTGTATAGACCTTGTAGACTGGAGACAACCCAAGTGTTTGTTCATCCATAGGAGAGTAGCTAAACTATGATATATTCATACAATGGATGCTGCACAGCAATTAAAAAAAAATTCATTGCAGTACTAAATATCATCTAAGACTATACTCAAAGAGGAAGAAATACAAAGGATAATTACTTTCAGGGGAGACTTTTTTTCTTTTTGCTAAGCGTGTCATCAAGAAAAGACACAGCAGGGAGAGAAAAGACTTCCAGACTGGCTCTGAACTTGGAGTCTGACAGTTGTTGATCTGAGGCAGGTCTCTGGCTGTCCTTGCTTGATGTCCTGGTTCCTATCAACTAACTGGGCTCCAATTTGGGGACCTGGTTATTTGACGCTGGGAAGATTGTCAAACTTTACTTTGGACGAATGGGGCTAATAGTGCACGCTACCTGACTCCTGGGAGCGTTGCCAAGACCCGTAAGAAGACAGGACTCAGACGATGAACGGCTCTGGAGAGCTGATCTTGGATTACTTATTTCCACTGCGGCCCAGAGGGCAAGCTACAGTCTGCTAAATTCACCCTTTCTCAGACAAGAACATTCCACGTTTGGTTCCACATTTTAAAGGCCCTCCTGAAGGACTTTTATGCCTCATTTCATTAACAGGGCTGTGTTATTTTTGAACATTGGGGCACATCAGAAGTATGGTCATTTATTGATCAGACTTAGAGGGAAAGGAAGAGTTTGAAGAGCTTGCAGGAAGCCTGTGGTGTCAATTTGAGATCCATTTATATCTGATCCAAGTTGAGTAAATGAAAGTGAGACTTAAAAATATAAAGCTATTCTCTTTCTCAGTTTCCAACTACGGCCAGGATGCCTGGGTCCTGGTTTTGTTTTGTTTTGTTTTATTTTTTCAGCTTCTTTAGTTCATCCTTTTCTTCAGTTCCAGCAAAAGCCAACTTGTCTTTCTCAGACATTTGGTTCTGTTACTTCCTCTTCCTTGGTCCTCAATTCCAAAAGCATCCTTGTTTGTCTGGAATAACATGGCATCATGTCCGAGGGGTAAGGTGATCAGAAAGTCCCTGCAAGTCCTCTCTGCCTTTTGGAGGTTGAAAAAATGAGAAAGAAAGGTGAGAAAAAAATGGACAGAGATGAGAGCCAGATGCTGGGGGAGCATTTCTCATAAGTAGTGACCTCCTGATAAGTTTATAGAGTTTATAGGTCTTCTCTTGCAACGTGATAGCGATTGAGACTGTCCCGTGAGAACAGAGGTTGTTCATTTAATTGAAGAAGTACGTTAAGGCAGGGAATCACTTTAAAAACTGATACAATTTCTTCGACTTTAAATATATGTGTGTGTGTGTGTGTGTGTGTGTGTATACACGTATATACATGTATATACACGTATATATATATGTGTGTATATACACGTATATACACGTATATATATATATATATACACGTATATATATATGTGTATATACGTGTATATACACACACACACACACATACATATATATGATATGTTGAAGACCTGTTTGGTTTTGAGTTTAGGTCCGCTGATTGGAGTATAGTGCCATTTTGCTTGGTAAATAATATTCCCTAATATACTACCTAAGAGTCTCCTTATAATGGAGAATTTAAGGACACCGTGAGACAACCAAAGTACACAATCCTTCTAGGTGTTTTTTAAGTTTATTTATTTTTTTTTAATTTTTTTTTAACGTTTTATTTATTTTTGGGACAGAGATAGAGCATGAACGGAGGAGGGGCAGAGAGAGAGGGAGACACAGAATCAGAAGCAGGCTCCAGGCTCCGAACCATCAGCCCAGAGCCCAACGCAGGGCTCGAACTCACGGACCGCAAGATCGTGACCTGAGCTGAAGTCGGACGCTTAACCGACTGAGCTACCCAGGGGCCCCTAACTTTATTTATTTAATTTGAGGTGGGGAGGGGCAGGGAGAGAGGGAGAGAGAGAGAATCCCAAGTAAGCTCTGCAATGTCAGCACAGAACATGATGTGGGGCTCAAACTCAAGAACTGTGAAATCGTAACCTGAGCTGAAATCAAGAGTCAGACGCTTAACCGACTGAGCCACCCAGGCTCCTCGATCTTTCTGGATTTTTGGGAACTTCCCTCACTTCCAGTCATTTATGGCTTTCTCCCATATTTTCTTTGACAGCAATGGTTATTGTCTCAATTTCATTCCATCTTTGCACAGTATTCTGTGTTTCCATTGAAAAGAATACTCTTTCCTCTTATACGCCTGTTTCGTTACTTTTCATAATAGTAAGCTTTACCGATGGATTTGAGAGTGTTGTAATATTAACCCAAGGAGTTGGTTAAGCAGAGGTACTTTTCCTCTGCTCTATGGTTTGCAGAACTGATTGTGCTTCCAGATTTGAAAAGTGGAGGCCTTGGTGCACCGTCATAGCATAAATATGGTGCCTGCTTTATATGACCTGAGGTAGTCTGGTGAAAATACCTTAGGGTCCACATCTTAACTGCAGTGATAGGAAGTACGTGAAATTCCACCACAGACTTCTTGTGACTTTACCATAAGCATTGCCTTATACAGGTATTCTCCTTGAAACTAATTAAGTTTAGTTTAATTAGTTTAATTTTAAACTCATTTTGACCATCATTACCCAGCTTTATCATTAAGGTATTCTTTGAATTATCACTCTTATTGTTGAATCAGTTTTACTGCCAGGAAGAGCTTGGGAAGACTAAAAGCTTCAAGGGAGAGAAAGAGTGCTAAACATAGAGAGTTGCCCAAAGAATTGTCTTCTTCATGAACCTGCCCAACGCTGGCCCTGACTAGGACCACTTTAGCTAATAAATGAGAACAGTCTAGAAATTTTGAGGCTCTACCATTTTCCAGCTCTGTGCTAGCTTCTGGGGATGCAAAGGGGTGCTGAGTGATGAACTCTGTAAATATTTACTAGCACACTCCCGGTCCAGAGTTTTAGGGAAGGCATACGTGGAACCATGAGGTTTGATTACAGAGGACCTTACACAGTGCTTGACAGAAGTAAGGATGGAGCAAGTCATTTCTGGCCGGGGGACTTGTGGAAGGACTCCAGAAGTTTACACTTGGGCTGGGTCTTGGAGGGTGAGTATGTGTTTGTCAGACCAGGACGATGGGGTAGGGCACCCAGGCAGAGGGAGAGCAGTAACACGGACTACTTAGTGAATGGACATGTCATGCCTGAGCAACTGTTTGCTTATAGGGTAAGCATGGTATGAGGTTGTATGAGTCAGGGTTCTCCAGAGAAACTGAAGCAGTAGACTGTGTGTGTCCACACATGCATGCACACACACACACACACACACACACACACACACACACGTATGAGAGAGAGACAGAGAGAGAGAGAGAGAGAGAGATCTTCTAAGGAATTAACTCATGCAGTTTTGGAGGCTGAGAAGCCCCGAGATCTTCAGCAGGTAAGCTAGAGACCCAGGAGAGCCAATGCTATAGCTCCAGTTCAAGTCTGAAGGCCTGGGAACAGGAGAGCTGATGCTGTAGGTTCAGTCCAAATGTCTGACCAAATATCTGAGCACCCCGTGGCCCAGTCAAGTTGACATATAAAGCTAACTATCACAGGAATCGTAGGTGAAATCTTTGCTCTCTTCTCCTGATACAAGTTAGAATGTGGGACACCTCTCTCCAACCTAGATGGACTCTTCCCCATTGGGACTGACAGTCTATAAACACGGCTGAGTTGCCATTAACCCAAACCATGTAGGTCAATGAAGATGCCTCAAGTGGCCATGACTTCTACTGAGAATTCAAGAACATTTTCTAAAAATGTGATCTTTCAGGGGCTTAGTGTCCATTTATATCAACTGGTAATATTTGTAGGATTAAATGTGTAGGATTAAAATTACATTGAAACAAAGCACTGGCAATTTGGGGGACTATTTTCATATCATAAATGTTGATTTGTTGAGCTGTTCTTGGAAACCTATGCACACCCCTCCCCACAAATATCCGTGCCTTTTTGCTAAATATTGCACAACCAGCTAAATTAGAATATTCCCTCACTCTGCACTGTGACCAGCTCGAGCATTTGGAATTTAATAATGGGCAGTGACTTATTTAGTCAAAAACTTAAGGCAGCTGCAAACTCATTCTATACTTAGAAGGAGTAATAGCCAAATTCCTCATTTGGGCTGTGTCCTTTGAGCTGTAGGTATTTAGTGACAATTAGAATGATGGCAATTATAATAATAGCCAACCTGTGTCAATTATTGATGGTCAAGTTGCTTTGTGTTGATTAAATTTGCATTCTAATTTTATGGGTAGATAAACAGACTTACTGGATTTTAAACTTCAGTTATATTGGCACATCTAATTCCCTAAGATGCTAGACTGTCTCTATCTGCTTTTATTAATGTTGATAGTGAACCTGAATGATTGCTAGTTCAAGGTGGATTTCACTATGTCTACATTATCCACTGTACCTATCGATTAAATTAGTCGACTGCTATTAGCGAGATTTCAAAATAACTTCTTTGTGTCAGTGAGAGGAGGGCTACTTCTTCAGGGGTTTGTGGATAGCTCATGGATGCAGATGACTTCTGGAAAGGTAATTATCTGGATTATTCATGGAGCATGTTATTTCTATATTTCTATGTAGAAAAATAAGTATAATCCTAAGAGGGAAAAGACACAGGCATATACACAGAAAGGGGCTGAGATCTGCTCACTGTTTTGTCCGGGCCATAGGCTGATGGTAAAAATGTAGCTTTAGTCAGCTTTTGGTTATAGCTTTGAGTCATTTACATTCTGCTTACCTGGTTACAGCGCTAGGACCTGGACCCAGTGACAGATCCCCCATCGCAAGTTAAGATGATCATTTGGTCGTACTCGGATGAAACAAACTCAGAGACAGTGGAGGAAATTCCCCATCCCCGGAGGAAGCTTGGGGGTCATAACATCCTGTAGACACACGCTAGGGCGCATCCGATCCCCTAGAACTCCCAGATACACAGTCTGTGCTGAGGGCAGGAAGGTGTCCTTTGCTCACCTGTGTCTGTTTTTAACAGTTTACAAAACCTTTTGTAAGAACAAAGAGTATAAAACACACTGGGCTGACTGAGGAGAAACAAATACGCATGTTGAACGTGGTGAGCATTCTGCTGTGTGCTCAGCATGAGATATCCCAGCTCTGAGTGGGAAAATAAATAATGCCATTCCTTGAAAACCACTGGAAGGAGAATGTGGGGGAGGAATACGTAGACGAAGACTCCCATAACTGTCAAGTTCTCACTGAGAATTCATTCATTCATTCACTCACTCTTACAGCCAATAATGATTAAGCTCATATAAACGCCAGGCACCCTGATCACAACCGGAAAGATAATTCAGAAGAGTTAATCTCTGCCCTCATGAGGTTATAGTGGGGGTAAGGAAAGGGGGAGTAGACAGCAGGAAACAAGGTTTGTTTATAGTTCTACAGAAGAGACACGGTAGGCCACGGCTGTAGATCAGTCTTATGAGCAACCTAATCTAGATCGTTTCCAGAAGAGCTTTCCCAAGCAGGTTAAATGTAAAGCCAGGTCAGAAAAGTGAGTCAAAGTTAAAAGGGAAAAGGGTGGTAGGAGGAAGCATGGGAGGAGCTGGACAGGTGGGAGGAATCTCATGGTGCCTAATTTTCGTGGAATTAATTGGCAGGAAGTTAATTTTAATAGCTTGCCTTTCGGAGACCTTACCAAGTGCCACCGTGTGTGCTGAGAGCTTTATGAACATTGTCACAATTAATCCCTTATAGCGACCTCTGGGAGGTAAATATTATTATTCCCAATTGAAGAAAGGCAAGGTCTAGAGAAGTCCAACGACAGTAAGGGGAAGAAAAGGAAGCAAGGTTTAATGTCCACGTGACATTTAAAAGGGAGAAAGAGAGAGAAAGGCAAGAAGTTATAGATGGTAGGCATCCTTAATCTCAAGCAGCGTTGGCTGTCTTTTCTCACACTCCATGTCTGGACTCGGTCCACCCACGTGTGAAGGGTGTCTTTTGCTGAGTCTGGGACTCTAGCAGCTGATGCTAAAAGAGAGTTTTGTGCTTCTCTAAACTATCCTCTTGGTTGGAGCTGCTGTAATAGGATACCAAATGATGAAAATTTATTTCTCACAGTTCTGGGGGTTGGGAAGTTTGAGGTCAGGGTGCCAGCCAGGAAGAAGGAAAGGAAAGGAAAGGAAAGGAAAGGAAAGGAAAGGAAAGGAAAGGAAAGGAAAGGAAAGGAAAGGAAAGGAAAGGAGGAAGGAAAGAAGGAAGGAAGGAAGAAAAGAAGAAAGAAGGAAAGGAAGGAAGGAAGGAGGAGAGAAAGAATCTTTTTTTCCATATGGAAATTGAATTCTAAACCCCCTTCCTTATTTGTTGTTAAATTCACAATACTATCATCCCCCTTTTAAAAATCAGTTCATGGAGTTTTGGAGACTTGCCAACTTGACCGGCGGGCACGGTTGGGCCATCCCAGGACTTCCGGCTCTTTCTGCATCAACCACCCCAGTGAGTCTGCTTATTTCCTTCTGGCGGCTTGTCCTGCACTTTTGGGGAGCAGTCATACCTCAAGTTTGGGGGTGCACAGTTATCCCAAGGGGTGAAAGAAGCAGATTTCAGCGCATCTAGTTCCTCTTTAGCTAAATAGATCATCATTTAACGGATAGCCAAGACAACTCACTGTTAATCTGTCCTACTTCGGCTTTTAAAAAATGAGCAAAGAGAGCATTTTATTAGCACAAATGTGTGTCAGTTTCAGACTTATGACGACTTTAACTAGAAACAGCAAATAATAAAACGAAGCGATTTTGAGCCACACAAATGCGAACTTGGAAGGCGCACGTGACACTTGTCATTGCTTGTCGACCTTGGCAATCTCCTTACACTGTTGATTTGCTTTGGGTGCCCAGCACTGAGAAAAATCCTGAGTGACACAGCTAAATAATAGCGGGTTGTAAACATTTAGGAAACACCTCATCTTGCAGTCTTGGGATACTTTCCAATTAAAATGAATCCAGAAACTTGGGAGAGGGATAGCAGGAAACGTTTGTTTCAAAGTGACCGAGCCACCCGGACACCCCATTTTAACCATTTTTAAGTGTACAAATCAGTGGCATTAAGTACATTCACAAGGTCGTGCCACTGTCACCGCTATCCCCTACTTTGCTGTGGTTTTTAAATGCAGTTTATTTATTTATTTTGAGGGAGAGAGAGAGAGAGAGAAAGAGAGGGAGCAGGGGAGGGGCAGAGAGAGAGGGAGAGAGAGAGAGAATCCCCAGCAGGTTCTGTGCTGTCCACAAAGTCCGATGTGGGACTCGATCTCGTGAACAGTGAGATCATGACCTGAGCCGAAATCAAGAGTCAGACGCATCACCGACTGAGCCACCAGGTGCCCCTCCCTGACTTTGTTTTTGAAAGTTATTCCCAAGGGTCTATGTCAGGACACTTTGAAAGAGGCACGTGTGATATTAGTCATTATCTGAAAGCCATCATTTGTACGACTGCTTTTAATATTATTAATACTTATTATTAATTATTAATACTTGAGCTCACATCAATCCCAATGTTGATTAACCTCTTCAATTTAAACTTGACTCCCCCCGCCCCCCCCCCCCCAAGATTAGAATTCTTCTGGATTGTCATGTCCTGGTAGTATTGCCAAGAAGATTCGGAACCATCGGGGACGCCGGGATATGGAACTTGCGATCTGACCTGATCCCTCGCTAGTGTCTTCAAGACTTTAATTAGCTTTTACCCTAATTTCTTTAGTTAGTATCTCACCCGGTCCCTGAGCTGGTCTAATGACCTGAAGCCTCATCAGCTTCTTTCCGAAGAAAACCAGAACATTCACTCCTGTGACATTCTTTTGTACGTTTTTTTTTTTTTTTTTTTGGTCAGAACAGAAAAAAATGGAGTAAAAAATCAACCACCTCATTCTTTTATAGACACAAGAAATAATAATTGTTGATGAAAAGGTCCCATGGTACTGAGGTTCATTTTCACAACAGCCTCATGAGGGTGTTGTTATTGCCGTTGTAGAGATGGTGAGACGGTAGCACAGAGAGGTTAAGCAGCCTGCTGCAGGGGCACACAGCGAGGTGGGTGCACAGCAGGAACACAAGTCCAGGCAGCCGGCTCCAGGGCCCACGCCAAACCCCTGAGCCCCAGGACCCTCCCACTGAGAGCCACTTTTCTTGGGAGACCACCGTGCCTCCTCCCTGGAACTCCAGCATCTGGGGAAAATGTGTGTCACCGACAAGCAAGGCACAGGCGGACTGGGCACAAGGTTGTTCTGAGCGATCCCCACCGAGAGAACTGCGTCTGTGGGCTAGGAGAACAGGTGGTGTAGGCAAGTCGGGGCAGGACCAGCTGTGTAGACCGGAGGGCCCTGGGCAAAAAGGAAATGCAGGTCTCTTTATTCAACAATTCCTAGGAATTTAAGAGTGACTGCAGAGCATCGACTCAGGTGCAGGGAGGGCCCTTTGGAGCGGGAGACCCTGCGTGGCCGTGTGGTCTCCCATGGAGCCTCCTGGCGGGGCTGGGGTGGGGGCTCCCCTACCCCAGAAGGAACTGTGGCCGTGTGTTTCTGGTGAGCGAGTCTGGATCAGAAGCTGATGTTGGGGGAGGCTCTTGAGAGAGTCCTTATCAAGGCATAACTCAGCGCATGACGAGTCTGAGATGGCAGCTAGATCCGTATCGTGCCAGTCGGCATCAGTGCCTGAGGGAGGGTTTGCCGGCCGCGTGGACATAAGCAGAGACACAGCTATTAAAACTGGGAGCTGGCTTAGAGAGATTAATTTGATTTATTTTATTTTTAACTCCTTTATTTTGTAAACAAAATTAAGACCCAGAAGAGTGGTGGAGGGGGGGGATGTCTAATAGAGAAAGTTCTAGAACTAGAACCCTAGTATCTAGCTACTAGCTCACCACGTCTTTCTCGTCTGTGACGCACCTTTTTCCCTGATGCTGGAGTTCTGGGGCGGATTCATGGTGGTCTCTCAGGAGGAGGGGTTCTCAGTGGGAGGGTCCTGTGGCTCAGGGGCTTGGTGGGGACCCTGGAGCCGGCTGCTTAACCTCTCCGTGCTATCTCATTATCCGGACCATGAGATGACAAGAGTATTCTCGTAGGTCTTTTGTGAGGATTGTAAGAAGTAATACACCTAGAGGGATTAGCATAAAGAAGTCAATACTCAGTGTGTGCGTCCTCCAAAATTCACACTGTCATGTCCTAACCCCCAGGGTGATTCTCTTAGGAAGTGGGGCCTTTGGCGGCTCATTGGGTTTAGATGAGCTCCCAAAGGTAGGAGCCCTGTGATGGATTCTCGTCCTTATCAGAAGAGGCAGAGACACCAGAATTTTTTGTCTTGTGCTTTTCTCTCTGCCAAGTTCGGACACAGCAAGAACGTGGTAGTCTACAAACCAGAGAGGCGGGTCTCACCAGACACAGATCAGCACAGATACCTTGCTCTTGGACTTCCCAGCCTCCAGAAGTGAGAAAGGAATGTCTGTTGTTTAAGCCACCTGGTCGATGGCTTTTTGTTAGGGCAGCTGGATCTGACTAAGACAATAAGCATCGGCTACTACTGCTTGGAGACAATAGAATTGGCCGCCACTTGGTCCCGGCAGGTTACCCAGCGACTCCAAGTTGCTTCCTACATATACAATGGAAACAATTGTAGGTACCTTCCAAGCTCCCAATGAATGCTTAGCACGCCATCTGACAGATTAGGCAAACAGAATAACAGCAGTTTTCAGCCATATTCGTTGTTACCTAAAATCCCAAGGTCTAGAACAACCAAGTTTTTACAAAGAGGACCTGCTTTTCATTAATCAGAGGCTAAAAAGAGGACCCGAAGGCCCATCTCCCGCCATGCGGCCCCCTGGGACCGCTCATCCTGGGACCCATAAGTCAGTGATGCATCAGGGTTGAGCCGCTGAGCTAAGTCCCCTTAAATGGGTCATGCACCCCTAAGGCTGTTGAATACATCTCATTTCTAAAATGCCTGTTGATCGTTGACCCTAAAAGCTATCAGACTAGCAGGGGAAAAATAAAAGCAAGGATAACAAACAACCGGACCTGTGACATCTGGCTAGCTGGGTAAGATAGTGTCAGGAGAGAATGCGGTTTATAACATTTACAGACAGGGCTTAGGTCCAGCTGGCTCCAACTGGCTGAGGTGTCCCTGTTGGGGGCCCAGTGGGTGGTGTTTGCAAAATGACCTTGAAACCAGCCTGGGGTGGGGGGGGGAACCCTGCTTGACAATCATGACTAATATGTGTAAAATTCAAAAGCATTTGGTGGATCTGAATTCACTTCAAGGTTATTTTAAAAAAAACAAAAAACCTCAGAAAATACTAAGGATGAAAGCAGCAGTTTCTAGGCTAGTTAGAAAAGGAGAATTGTGAGTGAGACCAGGACAAAACAAAACAAAACACTTCAATTAAGATTATTTTTCTCTGTTGGGAGATGTGATTTTAAAACAATGACACATCCTGCTTACATCAGCTGTTAAAAATAACATCTGGGGTGTTTTTTTTTTTTAGTCTCTCCTGGGCATAAGCTATGAAACGAACCACCTTTGTACATAGAGCAACTTCTTTGGAGGAAAAGGGAGGCTGGAATTTCAGAGTGTGGCTAAATAATGCAGAACCCCGCTGACAGCCTGGAAGATTCATCCTACCGGGATTGCGTCCCCCTCCCTCCCTTCCACGATTTCACACAGTTCCAAGCGCGTGTCTTGTACACCCTTGTGCTCCAGTCCCCGGAGGGAGGCAGAGAGGAGAAAGCTCCATGTTGGAGGGTCTGTTCTCTCACTCTTTGCTGTGCAACCCCGAGCAACTTGTGTCTTCCGTTTGCTGAGGCCGCAACCAGAATGATTGCTACTAAGTAGGGAGCTAACCAACCAGATACGTAACCTTGAAACTCCCAGACGAAATTTCACGAGAGACTTAATGCTTGTGTTAACAGTCTTCCAGAAGTCTTGTTCCAGTCCGAGGACAGCTTCTAAAATTTTGACTGCCGTCTGTTTGGCAAACATAGACTGGATAGTTGAGCAAGGTGCAACACGAGAATAATGTCTGGGAACTTGTTAGAAATGCGCATTCTTGGGGCGCCTGGGTGGCGCAGTCGGTTAAGCGTCCGACTTCAGCCAGGTCACGATCTCGCGGTCCGTGAGTTCGAGCCCCGCGTCGGGCTCTGGGCTGATGGCTCGGAGCCTGGAGCCTGTTTCCGATTCTGTGTCTCCCTCTCTCTCTGCCCCTCGCCCGTTCATGCTCTGTCTCTCTCTGTCCCCAAAATAAATAAAAACGTTGGAAAAGAAATGCGCATTCTCGGGCCCCAGGCGCACTGATTCGGAAGCTCAGGGGACGGGGCCCAGGAATCTGTGTTTTCACTGCCATCTGTGAGATTCTGGCACGCGCCGATGGCTGTTTTCCATAATTTCCGCATTTCCGGGCCGTGTCGTTTTACTGAATTGTTTATTCTATGTAACATTTGGTGACAAGTCCTCTGACTGACTTCCCTATAGAGTTTGGGTTTTCAAGTATGACCCCCCACTGCTGGAACCCCATGCCACAAGCGCTCTCCAACTTGACAACGTCGTAAGCCATTTTCCCGGGAGCACCTTAAACATGCGGTTTCTCCCCAAAGACGCGAAGGCTGTGATGAAGGAGGAGGACAAAGTTCCGTCAAACAGTGTGCGAGACAGGCCGATGTGCAGATTATTTATGAATTACGGCATTACAGTATTTACCTGCTCCGTGGTTATACATGTGCCGGTCAGGACGAGAGAATACATTATGTGCACGGCAGTGTCAGGACACAGATGAGCTAAGTCGTATGTAGAAATGTCCCTTCTCCAGGGACAGCATGATCACTTAAGTGCTGCGGGGTGTCAGCCGCCTTTTGGGGGTCCTGCCCCCAAATGAAGAATGAAGAAGCAATGTTGTGCTGGACGAAGTGAGAACCCGCTGAGTATACCCTGCTGGTATTGGCCGCGGTGGGAGAATTTACACCGTGGAGACTGACAAATGCTAGAAATGAGGGCTTTAAACATTTTTGATTTTTGAGGGTGGGTTTACCAGCAGGCCACCGGATTTAGGAGAATATGGAGCTTCAAGGTGGGTCCCATTCACTAAGGTTCTCTCCTCTGGAATAGCAGTGTTTGAAATACTATTGGTTTCAGGATCAAGCCTCTTCTTTTTTGTTGTGGTTTTGTTTTGCTTTTTTACTGTTTGTTTATTTTAGAGAGAGAGAGAGAGAGAGAGAGAGAGATAGGGCATGAGTGGGGGAGGGGCAGAGAGAGAGAGAGAGAGGAAGACACAGAATCCCAGGCAGGCTCGAGCCGCTGAACTGTCAGCACAGAGCCCGACGCGGGGCCCGGACCCACGAACCACGAGATCATGACCCGAGTTGAAGCTGGACTTTTTTTTTTTTTTTTTAACGTTTTATTTATTTTTGAGACCGGGAGAGACAGAGCATGAACAGGGGAGGGTCAGAGAGAGGGAGACACAGAATCTGAAACAGGCTCCAGGCTCCGAGCTGTCAGCACAGAGCCCGACGCGGGGCTGGAACTCACGAACCATGAGATCACAACCTGAGCTGAAGTCGGCCGCTTAACCGACTGAGCCACCCAGGCGCCCCTGAAGCTGGACTTTTGACCGGCTGAACCACCCGGGCCCCCCAGGATCAAGACTCTTCCTTATGGTGGGCAAGATGGTACCCACACTGGGATTCGAAGCAAACCTGTTGGAGAATTTCCTTATGCCTCTTGATCATTGCTGTTTTTGCTTCTGCGATGAGGCCTCCGCTAGACCGCTGAACGGTTTTTGCAGAGGATCACCTAGGTGTCTGCCAGGCATCCTGTCTCTTGGAAGTGCCAGAGGTGATGGGCTCGGCCACTACGGGTGGCCGCCTCCATCCCCCCTCACTCTCTTTCTCCTTGCAGTCTACTCCAACAGCAAGCGGAGGACCGGAGGTCTTAGAGGAAGGGCGATTTCCATTCACTTATAGTTAATGCTTCCCGAGCACCTACTGTGCTCCAGGCACTTAGGGGAATAACTCTCCAAACATGGCCTCATTCAGTGTTCACAGAAGCCCCCAAAGATAGATACTATAAATGTCACCATTTTCCAAGTGAGGGAGCTGAGGCTCAGAGAGGTAAGCAGAAGCCAAGATCATCGAGGATTTGAACTTGAAATGTCTGATTCCTTTAACCCACGTGAAGCCAGCTCACAGACCCTGAAGTCTACTCGGAATTAATCTTGTACCCAGTTCTTTCTTCCTCTGGACTGTGTTATCTCCCTGGAGCCCGTTAGCCCTTGGGGCAACAGATAACTGGTGGGTTGGCCCCAGGCGTGCTCAAGTCGTCTCAAGCCCAGGAAAGACTGTAGTTCAGGTTCTAGGTAGGACAGACTCCCTCCTCCCCCAGCGAACCAATCAGCGATTTATTGCGTGCCTGCTGTAGTGAGTTTGCTTTGTAGCCACCCATGGAGCTTTAAAAACATAGAGATGCTTTGGGCTCTGACCCAGAAATGCTCATTTATTGATTAAGGTGTAAGGTCTGGGAGTTGTTAATAGGCTTTTCAAGAGGGCTAGATAATTAGAAAATCCTCCCAGTGTTACATACCTAGAAATGCCAGACAAAGTTTCAAAAACACATCCTTTTAAATTGTGTAAGTGAGCTCTTGAGACAGTAAAATCCTCTGGGGCCCCAAATCATAGAAGGAACCGAAACCCGGACTGGTGAGTCCAGAATTCTGTAGCCATGCCTGGTGACAGGGCACTCTGAGGGGAGGAATGTAGCCTTTTAGCGATCAATTAGGAGACTATTAAAGCATTGCTTATTATTTGATGCACACAAGAGAATAATGCTCTTTTATTTTTTACACGTTATTTATTTTGAAAGAGACAGAGAGAGTGCAAGTGGGGGAGGGGCAGAGAGAGAGAGGGACAGAGGATCCAAAGCAGGCTCCGTGCTGACATCGGTGAGTCCGACGCCGGGCTCGAACTCACCAACCGGGAGATAGTGACCTGAGCTGAAGTCGGACGCTTAACCGACTGAGCCACCCAGGCGCCCCAAAAGCATATCACTCCCTAAAACATATTACGCAGATTCGTTTATACTGTTTCCAAACGTAGTTCATTCACTTCACGGCCGTGTAATATTCATTCATTCTCCCATCGTGGACACTTGGGATGGGCCAAGGTTTTACTCTCATGCAGTTATGAACAGGCACGTAAATGTCTCCTGGTGCGGGTGTATGCCAGATTCTCCCCAGGAATAGAATGTATTTAAAATGGAACTGAGGATTCTTGCCCCCGAACTTCCTCTACCTACCCCTTCCCCACGTCACCCGATGACAGCCCCGTCCTTCCGCTTGCTTGGTACAAAACTTCGACGCCCTCTGTATTAGCTTCCGATCGCTGCTGTAACAAATTACCACAAACGTTGTGACTTAGAACAATGCAGATTTATTGTCTTATGTTTTTGAGATTAGAAGTCCAACATGGGTGTCACCCAGCTAAAATCCAGGCTTTGGCAGGGCTATGCTCCCTCTGGAGGCTCTAGAAGAGAATCTGTTCCCTTGCTTTTCCCAGTTGCAGGAGGCTGTCTGCGTTTCTGGGCACGTGGCCCCTTTTCTCCACCTTCAGAGTCAACATCGTTGAGTGGAGTCTTTCCCAAGCTGCCATCTCTCTGGTTCTTCCTCGTAGGATTATATTTGGTCCAGCCAGATAATCTAGGATGATCTCCTGATTTTTTTTCTAAATGTTTATTTATTTATTTATTTTTGAGCGGGGGGTGGGGGGTGGGGGGAGGCAGAGAGAGAGGGAGAGGGAAGCAGAAGATTCAAAGCAGGCTCCACTCTGTCAGTGCAGAGCCTGACATGGGGCTCGGTCACACAAACCATGAGATCATGACCTGAGCTGAAGTCGAGCACTTGACACGACTAAGCCACCCAGGTGCCTTGAGTTGAAGGTCATTTGGTTAGCAACCTGAATTCCATCTAAAACCTTAATTCATTTCCTTGTGCCATGGAAGCATGTAAGTCACTCACCATATTCACAGGTTCAGGGATTGGGACATAGGCATCTTTTTTTTTTTAAGTAATTCATTTCTTTATTGAAGTATAATTGACATGCAGTATCCTGTTAGTTTCAGGTGGACACCATAGCGATTCGCCATTTTGATACATTACGAAATGATCCCCACAAGAAGTCGAGATACCGTCTGTTCTCATACAAAGTTATTGCAACAGTATTGACTATAGTCCCTATGCTATACTTTACATCCCCATAACTTATTTGTTTTATACCTCGAACTCTGCACCTCCTAATCCCTTTCATGGATTTCACTCTCCCTCTAACCCCTGCCCTAGGACACAGACGTCTTTGTGGGGTCATTGCTCTGCCTTGATGACTGCACCATCCTTGATGACTCTCTTCCGTGATAAAACCAATCTGTTAGGAGACCCTGTGGGCTCCATTTTCCACATAACTTGAAAATCCAGCCACTTCTTACCAATCTGCTGCTATTACTCCCTGGTCCAGCCTTCGTCACTCGTAGGATTATTGCAGCAGTGTGGTGACAGGTCTCTCTCTGGCGTCCTTGTGGTCTCATCTCAACACGCCAGCCACAATGAACCTCTTCAAATGTCAGTCACACATGGTACTCCTCAACAAAAGTCTCCAGTGTCTTCATTTCTCTCGAAACCAAGGCCCTGATTCTCACAGTGGCCCCTAAAAGCTCCCTGATTCATGCATTCCTGCCCCCCTCCAATTTCTCTGTTAATCCTCTACTGTCCCCGCGTTGCTCCTTCCTCACCTTTAACTTCCTTTATAATTTGGTTATTGTTTTCTGCCTCCTTCCTTCTAGAAAGTCAGTTCCGTGAGGGTAGGGATTTTTGTCTGGGTTATTCACAAATACCTGCTCAGAGCCCAGAATTCAGTATTTATACTAAGAATGACTTTCAGTCTAAAGGATTTCCACCAACAGCCTGGACAGAGACGAGTCTCTGGACCAGCAAGAGAGGAGAAGGAAACAAGACCCCCACATAAAGCTGAGAATCTGAAAAAAATTTGCTCCCACAGCCAAAAGCAA